CCCGGATGCGCCCGAGGGCCACCTGCTCACGAACAAAGTGTATGTCGAGCTCAATGTGCTTCGTTCGTCGATGGTGGACCGGGTTGGCGGAGAGGTACACAGCGGAGACGTTGTCGCAGTAGACGAGTGTGGCCTTGTGAACATCACAAAGCAACTCCTGGAGCAGCTGACGAAGCCAAGAGCATTCGGCAACGGCGTTAGCCACTGCCCGATACTCTGCCTCGGCACTCGAGCGAGAGACTGTGGGCTGTCGCTTGGAAGACCAAGAGATCAGAGACGGCCCAAGGTAGACACAGTATCCCGAAGTGGAGCGCTGTGTGTCCGGACAGCCAGCCCAGTCCGCATCAGAGTAGGCAACGAAGTCGGTAGAGGCGGAGGCCGTCAGTGTAAGTCCCATGGACGTAGTGCCGCGTATGTAACGGAGGATACGCTTCACCAAGGTCCAGTGAGAGTCACGCGGAACATGCATGTGAAGACAGACCTGCTGAACGGCATACTGCAAGTCGGGGCGCGTCAGGGTGAGGTACTGCAAGGCACCCACAATGGAGCGATAGAAGGCCGCGTCGGATGCGGGAGAGCCCTCCGGAGATGAAACCTTGGCCTTGGTGTCAACAGGCGTGGGAGCAGGCTTGCAGTTAAGCATGCCGGCACGATCGAGAAGCTCATGGACGTAACGCTGCTGATGCAGAAAGAACCCATCTGGCCGTCAAACCACCTCAATGCCGAGGAAGTAGTGGAGGGGCCCCAAGTCCTTCAGGGCAAACTCATCGCGAAGACGAGCAGTAAGCCGCTGGAGAAGCGCGACAGTGAATGCCGTCAGGATGATGTCGTCGACGTAGAGCAACAAGTAGGTCGTGTCAACCCCGTGATGGTACACGAAGAGGGACGCGTCGGAGCGGGTCGATGTAAATCCGAGCGTTTGCAGGAAGGCAGCAATGCGCTGGTACCAGGCCCGAGGCGCCTGCTTTAACCCGTAAAGAGAACGGGAGAGCAAGCACACATGGTCCGGATGTGTGGCGTCGACGAGCCGGTGGGCTGCTCACAGAACACCTGCTCAGCGAGGTGGCCGTGCAAGAAGGCGTTGGAGACGTCCAACTGATGCACAAGCCAAGCTCGGGAGACGGCCAGCTGAAGCACGGTGCGGATCGTGCCCGGTTTAACAACCAGAGCAAAAGTGTCGGTGAAGTCCACGCCAGCACGTTGCCGAAAGCCTCAAACCACCCAGCGAGCTTTGTAGCGCTCGAGAGTCCCGTCGGGACGAGTCTTATGCCGAAAGACCCACTTGCCCGTGATGATGTTGGCACGAGGTGGCCGAGGGACAAGCTGCCAGGTGCGGTTCCGTTGGAGCACATCGAACTCTTCCTGCATCGCAGCGAGCCAATGAGGGTCCCGAAGGGCGGCTCAAGCTGACGACGGGAGAGGGGACGGCTCGGAGACGAAGGCGGCTAGAAGATACTCATCGCTGGTGTACCGCGTACTCGGGCGGAGGGTACCAGCCCGAGAGCGAGTCATCGGGCGGGGCAGCGAGTCTGGGGCGACGGGCGAAGACGAAGAAGAGCCCGCCGCCACTGATGCCGCGGGTGAGGCCGCGGGCGAGGCCGCAGGCGAGGGCGCGGGGGGGGGAGGCCGAGGAGGCGCAGGTGGCGTCGCAGGCGCCGGGAAGGGTGCAGCCCCTAAGGAAGCCGGCCGGGGAGGAACTCGACCCGGGGCACGGGGGGCACCCTCAAAGCCAGGAGGCGGCCCAAGAGAAGCGCACGAGCGGCCGTCACTGAGAGCGGGCAAGGCCGCAACATCCGAAGGTACCTGCTGAAATGGAAAAACCATCTCATCAAAGTAAACGTGTCGGGAAGTGATGACCCGATGTGAGATAGGATCATAGCAGCGGTAGCCTTTGGTGTTGGGGGGATAGCCAAGAAAAATACAGGCCACGGACCGTGGTGCGAGCTTATGAGGAGTAGTGGAAGTGATGCTAGGGTAGCACAAGCAACCGAAGATGCGAAGCTCGGTGTAGGAAGGTGGCGTGCCGAACAAAAGATGATGAGGAGCAAAATTCCTGCGAGTGCGACAGGGACGGATGTTGAGGAGTAGTGATGCGGTGGCGAGCGCGTCAGGCCAGAAACATGGTGGCACGTTGGCGTGAAAGAGGAGGGTGCGAACGCAGTCATTAAGAGTGCGAAGCACGCGCTCAGCGCGGCCATTTTGTTGCGAAGTGTACGGGCAAGTGAGACGAAAAATCGTGCCGTGTGTGGCGAGAAGGTTGTGGATTGCAAGATTATCGAACTCCCTCCCATTATCTGTTTGCAACGCATGAATGGGGCGACCAAACTGCGTGGAGACATAGGAGTAGAATGCGGTGAGAGTGGAAACAGAATCCGACTGTCGCCGCAACGGGAAGGTCCACACATAGTGCGAAAAATCATTAAGAATAACGAGATAATAGAGATAGCCCGTGTTACTTGCAACAGGAGAGGTCCAAACATCACTATGAATTAACTCAAATGGGTATGAAGCAACATGCGAGGAAGTGCTAAAGGGTAGACGAGTATGTTTGCCGAGACGACAAGCATGACAAGTGTGATCGTCGATCTTATTACACGTGAATGAAAAACTGCGAAGAATATGACGAAGGGTGGTAGGGTTGGGATGACCAAGACGAGCATGCCAAAGGTCCACTCCAGTAGAAAGCGCCATGGGTGCAGCGACGGAGGATGTGGATGAGTGGACCGGGTAAAGCTTGTCGGGATTGTCACATCGGTGGAGCACCATCCGGGTACGGGCATCCTTAACAGAAAAGCCAAACATGTCAAATTCAACGGTGACAGGATTTTCACGTGTAGGAGAACGAACAGAAACAAGATTTTTAATGTTGTCAGGTGAAACGAGTACGTTAGAAAGATATAATGGAATGGAGTTAGAAGGAAAAGCAGTATAGCCGACATGAGTGATGGGCATGGAAGAACCATCGCCCACAGTAATGCGAGTAGCAGTGTGAACAGGGTAAGCGGTAAGAAGGTTACCGGGATTGGCGGCCATGTGAGCCGTGGCTCCAGTGTCCATGTACCAGTCGCCACCGCCAGTGTACTGCTGTGGCGTGGGGGCGGTGTGGAGGGCCGCTAGCAGCGCGGGGTCCCATGGCGCCGGTGGGAGGGCCGGGGCCGACGGCAGGGGCTGTGGCGGTGGCTCCGCGAACCCACCGGTCGGAGGCAGCCCATAGGCCGCCGAGGGGCCGAAGAGCGGTGCCGGCGGATACGCCTGAGGGGCCGCGTACAGAGCCTGATGAGGGGCCGGGCGGGCGCCAAAAACACCGGGGACGGGGGCGCGCGGTATGGGCATGAAGTATGCGTGAACAACCCCCGTCCAGGGGTTCTGGCCGGCCTGCCAGGGCGCCGGCGGGGAGCGGGTGCTGCGGCTGGCGCGGCGCCCCGCCATGGGCAGCTGGCTGCTGCTGCTGCTGCTTGCGGCCACCTCGGCCGCGACGCCCGCCCCGGCGCTGCTGCTGCTCGGCAGGGGGCGGCGAAGGGGCCTGCGGCGGCGCGGGATAGGGGAACCCGGGTGGCGGCTGCGCGTGGAGGGGCCCCTGGGCGGGCCGCGGCGGGGGAGCCGGAGCGGTGGGCGGCGCATCGCCGCGGGTTCCGGTGGTGAGAGCCGTATGGGTGGGTACGGCCCGGGTGCGCGACATCCGCATCCTCCTCTCCTCCAGCTTCAGGTACGCGACGATCTTGGGGAAGGTCGGGTTGGTGATGAGAGGGATGTTGGAGGCGGCGTTCCCGAAGTCTTCGTTCAGGGCGGCGATGAGAGTGCTGAGGAGGAGCTCGTCGGAGACCTTCTCGCCGAGGTCACGGAGCTCGTCGACAAGCTTGTTGAGGCGCATGCAATAATCGTCAACCG